AAAAAAAAAAAAAAAACTGATTCATGTGCATTTTATATACATACCAATGATATTTTACAAACAAGTATCAAACTGCTTTTTTTATTATTGCCAGCTTACTTTGGTCAACTTTCTCATATCCATTCATGCCTTTTTTTTTGCATTACACGTTTTATAATAATAAAAGAACGTTAAAGATAGAATTTATCAAATTTAAACTTATCTCTATATTTTACCCACTCTTTCTCCTTTATGTCAACTTGTATAAACAATAAAAAGAGAGAAAAGGAGATTGTGTGTGAAAAGAACAAAAAAGGAGAGGGAGGGAATAAGATTTGTATGCGCAAATGAGAGAGAATATGAGGATGAGTCAACTCCTTTTGCTGTTTCTTTTTTTATATATGAAGAATGATAAATTGAGCATTTCAATTGTAAAGTTATTGTTTCTAACATTATTTATTCAAGTTGAGTTACAAAAAATGGTAAGGCTTTAAATCAAAGAACAAAATGTTTATATAAAAGATCGATTTATAGAAAACGTTTGCTTCTCTTTTTCTCATTTCTTCTCATTTTATTTTTTATTAAACTAAATGACAGGTAAAGGACAAGTATTGATCAAGAACATTTATATTAACCTTTGTATAGACTATTCATATAAATATCGAAGTAACTTTTCCTCTGGACAAGGCATCTGCTCTCCTTCAGGATACTCTGAACCCACAAGCCCTATTGGCCCTCCATCTCATCTTAGTCCCTATTGTTATGATCGACCTCAGTTGGAACATCCTTATAATGGTATGCCCTACTATGCAAATGTTACATCTACTCCGGATTATGTTGCACCAGATCACGAAAGCCATCCTCCGCCTAGTCTTCTAATGTTACCTTCACAAGGTTTTCCCTTCCCATCAGGTACTCCTTCTCCCGACTCCTCGTCTTTTTCAAGCTCGTCTGTGGATCACTTTAATATGCTCAACTTTGAAAACTCTGTTTACATCTGTTCCGATGGCGGCATGAATACTTATGAATGCAAGTCCGATAATAGTTACTCTTGTGAGGTACAAGGGCCAAAGAATAGTCAAAATGAAGCTAACTTGACGGTACCTCAAATGAAACAGAATTTCAATGAAAAGTCTCAAATAACCAAAAAGCAAGATAACAAAAGAATGCCACATGCTAATCAGCCCGTTCATCTCAAGCAAAAGACAAAAAAGAAATGTGCTAATTGTCAAACGAAGGAGTCTCCTTCTTGGAGACGCAGTATAGCAAAAGAAACAAAAGGAAAGCTTCTCTGTAATGCTTGTGGTCTCTAGTGAGTGCCCTTTGTGAAATATGAATGAGTATATATTAACGTAATTGATACATAGTGAAAAGACTACTAAAAGAAGACGTATGCTGGTTACGAACGAAGACAATTTAACAAAGGTTATACGCAAACGAGATGCTCGTGTCTACTGCTGCGCTATCTGCGGAACAAAGAACGCTTGTCACTGGAGAACTATAAAGGAGATAATCAAGTGTAAGTTGTGTCATTAACCTTTAAAGACTATTACTAATTGACTTTATTAGGCGAACCATGTCATCGTTCCGGTTTTTAGCTTTTCTTCTTCTTCTTCTATTTTTCCCCTCTTCTTTAGGATCATTTTAAGAATAAAGCTAAAAACTTAAAAATGTACTTTCTTTTTTCATCAAACACAATATTGTTTAATTTTAGTCAATTTGGTGAATTTGTAATATGCTTTAACAAATGACGTTCAAAAACCAAATCACAAATAGATTAGCTTGGTAATCTTTTTATGGTAAGCATTCTCTACTCTATGACATTGATCTAATTAAAGTAAAAAGATGCGGAATTAGAGCTCCATGTTGCTTAGATCATGCGTCGGGATTAATTCTAGAATCAATTTTCAAATAAAAAAGGGGAGCAAAAAGGCCACATGATTCAATGTCGAGTCATTTTTTATTCGAAAATTCTTGATCTGCCCATTATTTACGCGGCCCAGTCACTGTTATTAACCATCCATATATCTGTGAGGTGACTTTATTTATTCGACCATAAAGCCATGTATATAATATATATATCATCCTTCTTTTGTCTTTTATTTCTTCTATGCTAAAATAACTTAAAGTCTAGATAATTCTTTTTTTTTTATTGTTTTAATGCAAGCAAAAAAGTAATAACCTCTAAATACATTATTAAAGTTGATCTAGTAAATCTTATCAGTACGCTTGTTATAAGTACTTGGATCAAAATCACATACACACACGACGAAAGAGTGACATCAGGATGCAGAAATGAGGATTATTCTTAAACACGCATTTGCTATGATACAAGATGGTCGTGTAATTATTCAACCTTTGCTTTTCAAATACAAATGAAATAATGTGAAAAAAATCGTTCTTGTAGTATAAATCTATCAAATTAAATAAAAACACAGCACTTAAAATCCTTTGCAAAAGCTTGCTTTGATGTACCTGTGCCTCTGTCATAGTGATCATTTAGTTGCATTCATCGGGGATCAAAAACATCTTTAAGTTCGTCTCTCTCTCTCTCTTCAGAGTAAAATAGATCCGCTCTGATGCATTTGTTTATTTTTAATCAAATGATAGTTTTAAATAAAGAGAGAGCTCTCATATATTATATGGAATAAAATAATAAAATTGTCTTTGAATCTATTTCATGATCAAAGGAAAGCAAACACTTTTTCATATATCGATTGGAATTGTTTACCCTTTGATTAAAACATGACCTACACGGAACAATTGATCAAACGATCGAGAATTTTTTTTCTTCTTTTTAACTTTAACTAAGATATAATTCAATAATATTCGAGAACATGTGCATAAAAGAGAAAGAAAAACAGGCTTATCTATGGCAGGCAGCAACGCAAAAAGATATGTTTATACAATTGGTTATTGTAAATACAATGCCGTTGCTAAATGCTGAAAGTTAAGTTTTCTAAACTCATTTACTTTAGTGATAAGCTCAACTTGATAAAGAAGACAGAAAAACAAGCTCATTCTTTTTGTAACAATTGCGCCATTGTCTTTGTTTATACTAGTATATTAATGATGATAAGAATACTTCAATGACTACTCAATGATGGTCAGATTACTTAAATTTGTCTTATTGACTCCATATGCTACGATATGACTGAATGATCAGGAATCAGTTACATGTTGTTCACCTATGTAAGCGGCAATTGAATATTTACAAAATATGATGTGTGTTTCAATGCCATATGACAATAGTAGTAGCCTTACCGAAGTTGTGTCTTTATTGTTAGCACTGCTGCAGGATTGCCAGCTGCCTCTCTCTCTTTGATATCTTTAAGTGAAGACATTTTCTCTGAACCAAAGGATCCTTCTTTTGACCAATGCTTGTAACTTCGTCAGAAAACAAAGTCATATGGAAGCACATCGATCAAGAGAAGGGAATAGAAGGCTTTAGAATTTGAAGAGAGATAATGCTGCATAATATCCTTTTTATCAGTATTAATGCAGAGATAGATAGAGAAAGACAAGGCGAAACGAAGATGGAATTAAGAAGTAATTATGATCCAATACGCCCTACACTTGTTAGTTATTAAAAGAAAAAGCTCGATGTTCGTTAAAGTGGTTAGTCACCGTTTTCTTAAAAAGAACTACTTGAATGGATATCTATGCTATAAACTATGGACTTACCCACATCCCTAACATTCTCTTTTGAATGGCTTTCTTAAATGTGTCAGTTGTATCGGTTGATGCCCTTACTTCTTCTCAACATAAGCTCTCAATAAAATCTTAAAGCACGTTGTATGAAAGAATGGGTATTTCTCTGTCTCTGTCTTTGGAGAAGCTCCTCCATGCTTCATTTTAAAGCCCGCTCAAACCATTCCTCTACAGCAGTCAGCTTACCTGTTGCAACTAATGCGCAGTCGTAAAGGTTCATACACGTAAAAGTATAATTTACTGCATTAGAGGAAGGTAGAAAGATTATATACTATAAAAAGTATTGGAAGTAATCCAATGCATAATTATTACAATATACTAGTGCTTTTGCTATTTGAAAAGAGCTGATGCCTGCGGGACGAATTCTACTATTATCCAAATGCTTTATCTATTTCTAATACTATTTTATCACTAAAAGTATAAAGAGGCAATGTAGATTGTGTATGCTTATTATCAAAAGCCATTATCTCCCTTCAACTTGCCCCATTTTGAACTGAATACCCGTGTAACAAAAACACCGTCGGCAAAACAAAAATTGTTTAAGCAGCTATAGTGATTTATTATTACTTTTTTTTTTTAAAAAAAAAAAGAGAAACAGTATAAAGCATAATGGCAAATTCACAACAAGTATTCCAAGCAACTTATTCAGGTGTACCAGTGTACGAAATGCTTTGCAGAGGAGTAGCTGTGATGCGCAGAAAGTCAGATTCCTATTTGAATGCTACTCAGATATTAAAAGTCGCGGGTTTTGATAAACCACACAGAACTCGTATTTTGGAAAGAGAAGTACAAACAGGACAACACGAGAAAGTTCAAGGCGGCTATGGAAAATACCAAGGTTTGGATGAATTGTGTACATGCATTGAGATTCCAATTTTTGCTAATGTCGGCATAATTTAGGTACTTGGGTTCCATTAGAACGTGGTAAAGAACTAGCACAACTATATGAAGTTGACAACCTACTGGACCCTATTCTAAATTTTGTAAAAGGCGATAAGAGTCCACCGATTGCGCCAAAGCATACAACAGCAGCTTCAGCACGGGCCAAGAAGGCCGCACGTGAGCCGCGACCGGTGAGAAAGAGAGTAAGGAGAGAAATGGTAGAAGAAGACATATCAGACATAGACGACATGTCTCATCATGGTATTCATATTCTTCCTGCTCCAGTAGAAGCAGCTGCAAGTCCCGGTAGACGAACAAGACATGTCAAGGAAAGGCGGCACAACAATAAGCCTGCCGTCGTAAAAGAGGAAAGACCAGAGGTAAAAGAACCAGCTGTCGAGCCAGCGATTATTGTGGATGATCCGGTCATCGATGATTATGACTCTAGAGAAAAGACATATGCTCAAAAGCTGCTTCAATTTTTCATGTCAGGGCGTCAAGGCATACCTTCTTTACTGGCATATCCCTCCCGTGATCTCGATCTGAACTTGATCATTGACGATGAGGGGCACACAAGTCTCCATTGGGCCTCAGCTATGGCTCGTATCGACATTGTCAAGACTCTTATTGATCATGGTGCAGAGATTGATAGAGTCAATTATCAGGGACAAACAGCCTTGATGCGTAGTGTCTTGTTCACAAACAACTTTGATGAAAAGACATTTGACACTCTACTCACATTCTTACGCCCCACTGTGTTCCATATTGACAAGAAGGATCAAACGGTGTTTCATCATATCGCGACCACAGCAGGTTCTAAAGGGAAGGTACATGCCTCTCGTTACTATATGGAATGTCTTATCAACAAGCTAAGCTCAAATCGATCAGAACTGATATCTATTTTAAACGTCCAAGATGCGTATGGTGACACAGCATTGACCATTGCGGCACGTATTGGAAACAAGCGCCTGATCAAACTCTTGATCGATGCTGGAGCCAGTACGGAGATAGCGAATGAAGATGGAATGACGTCTAGAGACTATATCAACGAAATGGAAAGACGTAGTGCCGGTGAATTTTCGTCTCTGCTGCCCTTCCAGACCAACAATGACATTTTACTCGCCGATGCCAATTCACATGAAGCTCTAAGGCAAAAGGTGAACACCATGTTCAAGCAAGTGATCAGTAGCTTAAACAACAATGATGTTGTGCCACCTATTTCAGAAGTATTTGATTCATTTGCTGAAAGTTACGAACGGGATCTGATATCAAAAGAGAATTCAGTTCAAAAGAAAAGGATAGAGTTGGAGCTCTATACAAAGCGATTGGCTGAGACAAAACGTGTGCTAGAATCCATCGTGTTTAATGCTGAAGACACTATTGCTTATGAGGAAACAGGTAAAAGGGGCCTGCTGCTTGAATCTAGGCTTAAGAAATGGCTCCAGTTTAGTCAAAAAGAGACACTCTTGTACCTCATCAAGGCTGCAGAAGACAATCCTCATAGTGGCAACACAGGTGCGACCAGCAGCAGTAGCACACCTCCATCGGAACTGATCGAATTAAAGAAGACAGCTGAACTATTGCAACAGGAGCTTGCAGAGTTGCAGAGCTCGAGGAAAGATAAAGTACGATCATTGATAAACATCTTGTGTCAGATACCTAGTAAAAAGTATCAAGATTACAAGAGACTGATCTCGACAAGTTGCAATATTCCATATGAAAATGTAGAAATGATGCTAGAGCCTTTACTGGCTTCATTTGAGGAAGAAAACCTTCCTGAACGAGAAATGACAGGTGTATCCGCTTCATAATTTTATAAATAAACCGTATTATTTAAGACTGTTGGTTGTGCAAAAACTTCCTTGATGTAAATCCGTTTAAGGTTTTGAAGTGTATGTTTAGTTTATATAAAATAAAAGGAATGCAAACTAAGCTTCATTATCTTCCAACACAATGCTTTCAATTTCAAAATTAGATTGTGAAGAAGAAGAAGAAGAAGAATCTAGAGTCAACAACTCGCTCTGGATGCTTGATCCATCCGTATTCATTATCATACTAGCAGCCTCGCTATTTGAAATTAATGCTGACTCAGGCATATCGTCTCCTGTTGTCGTTGTTGCTATCGATGCTGATAAATCTAGTAATTCAACAGTGAGGCATGATAGAGACCCTCTTTATTTCATATTTACCTTCATGGACTTGCCTTGAATTCTCGTCATCAGTTGACGTGCCTTCGAGTCCAAGTTCAGGCGCGTGTTGATTAATGAAATCCGTGATATCCTTGGCCAAGTCTTTTCTTATCTGACGGATGATCTCACCAGCCTCCGGATTTCGAATAGCCAAAAACAATGGCTTAATAGATCTTTTTATAAAGGAGGATTAGAAGACTACAGAAAAAGCACTCTACCTATACGACTTACTTGTATATGTCTAATCCGGTGTCACCTAATCGCATAAGCAAATAGCTTAATATAGGCTGAATTGCCCATACACAAGCTGCTCTCCGCAGTTTTGACTGTAATGACAATTGAGATCGTCGCTTGATTAAAAAGAGCAAATAGAATAGAGCGTAAATTCCGTATAAAGTGGGTGCAGCGATGGAAACGACGATTACTTTCCATGACGCTATTACATCCTTTCCTTGGATCTTTACAGATGATCCGGCTAACGCCTCTATATTAAAAGGTTAGTTACCATTATACACATCCCTTTTTTACTTACGCCTTTGCTTCTTCTTGCTTATATAGTTTGTAATCCAAATGAGAGGTAGATTGAATACGAGTCTATAGGAAATAAGATATCGAGAAGCTGTTCATATTGGGTAACTTACGCAGGAGTTCCCAATAATGCCATAATGACCAATTTATTGATCCGTTTGATGAGCTGAAAGGTAGCTTTGGAGGGCCGTATGTTTAATTTTTCTACCTGGTGGTCTCGTATACCAAAGAAGTTGAGCATATCGTTATAGTATTTGACCTTTTTCACAATAATCTTCAGATTAGGGTCATCACGCAGTTTAGACCAAAGTGAAGCAAAGTGTCTGTTGAGCTTAACTACTTGATCTATCGATGGTCTTTTATCTCCAGTAGTGTATAGTCTTCTTGCCGCTTGAATGACCTAGAAAAAAAATTAGAGCCTGTTCTCTTTTTCTTTTTCTTTCTTTACCATCAATGTATCATAATCTGGTGTATTGACAGTAACGGCTTTGAATGCCTCATCGCTAAGATCAAGCAGTCTTGTGACCGCCTCCCTCTTTGCTTCACCACCCAACTTATAGTCCTCAATATCTCTCTTATCAATGGAGATGGGGTGACCAAATGATACTACAGCGCGAGATCGAAACTTGTCTGGATGAAAATAATTCATACCAACAGGCACGATCTTGATATCTAAACTTGGATTTGCAGCAGCAGCCCCAAGAGCCATGACGGCAAACCCAGCTTATTTAAAAAGAAATAAGACTCTTGTAAATGAATCCACTTCTCTATCATGTTACCTTTTAGAGGCAACATCTCGGATCGATCATGACTTCCACCTTCAGGAAATATCGTGATACATTCATGATTATTCAAGTAATGATAGACTTCATCATATACAGCTGTTTGATCTACATGAGGAGCGATTTTAAAAGCGTGTCCATTTCCTTGTTCTTCTTGGGGTAAATTGATTGAATAAGTAATCTTCAAGAGAGTATCCGAGATGATTTCTTCGACGTGCACTTTGTGATTTCTTCCAAAGATGACAAAGTCTCTTGGCCTAAGCTCACTCTTGAAATTTGTCTTTTCTCCTCTGATCTCGAATGGATTATTGTTTGGATCATAATAAATGGTACCTATACCCTTGGTGACGATATCTTGCGGTCTGACAACGGGAACTGGAATAGGTTTAGAAAAATGTGTATGTTGTGTTTAAAGTAACTTACTGGCATTAAGTATCTTGCCTACATGACCAATCAATGGCTTATTATAAGATACAGCAGCCATCAAGGCATAAGACGAACGAGGATTTTTGCTTAAGAAGACAACACCGTCAATAAACTGGTTGGCATGGGGACCAACAATAAAGATGCAAGGACCTGATGCTGGTACAAGATGAGAATCACTTGTCTTGACTTCACGAAAAAAGACGTGCGATATAACCTTGAATAAGACACGAAAGGATTGATAGGTTATTGAAGGTTCAGTCATTAAAAAAAAGAGAAGATATAAAAGATATAAATTCAGGGACAAAAGACTATATTCACATGGGAAAGCATGTGATTACCTAAGGAATTGAATTGTATATATTTATGCAGCGACTTTTATTTTAGTAAGCATTGGGTTATGCCATAAAAAGACAAGGACAAAGACAGAGGATTGTACGCCAGAATGAGCAGTCATTCATGCTGATGACTTGTAGAGTATCGACTAGTTCAGCCACAGCCTACACACACAAGGATCGTTTTTTGGATTTACTATAAATTGGACCAATCAAAGAGTCACAGCAATTCTGTTGTTCTTAAATTCAATTTAATCTTTTCCCTTCCCTCTCTCTCTCTTTTTTTTTTTTATTTCTATACACACACATTATAATAGAATGGTAAATATAGGAAAATAAGTGTGAGACAATATCTATTAATAACACAACAACGATAGGCTGATTCAACTCCAAAGGGTACTATCAGGTAAAGATCAATAAAGAAACTGGGAATGCGTGGAAAGATGAGATGATGGAGATGATACTGATCCTTTCTTTTTTCTTTTATAGAAAGCGTGTTACTTCTCGCTCCAACACGAATAACAGCAGTGCCCGTGGCGGTATTCCTGGAGGAAGCACATCCAGTATGATGAGTATTTATTCTGATGATGCTCCTGGACTTCGCGTGTAAAGATTATTATATAACAAATGGTAAATATGTTATTCATTTTTTTATATAATAGTGATCCAGTCGTCGTCTTGGTCCTTTCCTTGACCTTTATTGCTTCTGTATTTGGTCTTCATATTGTTGGCAGATTTTTGGCTTAATGTATACATTGCGCACCATATTGTATTCTTTTCATCACATATACACATATATACTTTGAATCAAAAGAGAGAGAAAAAAAGGAAAAAGTACTATTACAACTATTTTACTGCTTCATCTGGGATAAAACAATCTGCTTTCTTTTTTGTTGAATAAAAAGACTCTTTTTTTATAAAGGCTTCTTTTTCTATATTTTGGAAACAAGGATACAATCAATCAAGAGGGAATCAACTTTATAATTGGGATAATACTTTAAGAATATATGTCTTGAACTTGTCTTTGACCGGATGTGAAATCATAGACATCCTTTTTAAAAATAGAAGACAATAGAATGTATGTTAAGTAAACCAAAAGTCTCTCTCTTTTTTTTCTTTTTTCTCTCTATTTGTTTCATTCTTTTTTTATGAGCGGATCGACCGCATAAAGAGGATATAGGCTTTCATCTACTTTCAGTCATGCATGAATATATGGTGCAGCCATGGTTATTCCTTTTTTTAATTCATGAACAAGCGGCAATTCAAAAGAGGACCAGATTCATTTATGTCAGCACCAAACGTTCTCTTCCCATCACGCCACAGGATGAAATGAATCTCAGTCTTAATCGCGGATAATGATTGCATTATGAACAACAACAGCCATATGCTTTTATTTTCTTTTTTCTTCTTCTTCTTTCTTTTTGTGTAAATACAGTAGATTTATAGATGGGCGCAGTTCAAAGAGACGTTTATAATCCTCTTCTTTTCGAAATTGCTTGGGAGGTTGCTAATAAAGGTAATAGAGAGAGAGAGAGAGAAAAGATACACACACGCGTGGAGACACTATATGCTGATCTGTCTCTAATATACAGTGGGTGGTATCTACACGGTCATCAAGACCAAAGTCCCAGTGACGATACGAGAATTTGGTGATCGCTATACCCTAATTGGTCCACTCAATTATAAATCAGCTCCCATGGAAGTCGAAGCATGTGAACCATCAAACCCCCATGTAAAGGCATGTCTGGATGAAATGAGTGAGCATGGTGTCAAGTACCTATATGGACGTTGGTTAATCGAAGGCTCACCCTATGTTCTCTTGTTTGATACCAACAGCGTCTTTCATAAACTGGATGAATGGAAAGGCGATCTCTGGCGTTCTGCTGGTATCCCTTCTCCTCCTGCAGATACTGAAACAAACGATGCGATCCTCTTTGGCTATCTCATCACTTGGTTCTTGGGGTTGCTCACTCCAAAGGTAAAAAAGGGAAAACTTGGGAAAAATACGGGATATGGAAATGACATATTTGCACATGTAGTACAATCAATCTGGGGACCCCGCAATCATCTGCCATTTCCATGAGTGGTTGGCCGGTGTCGCTTTACCTTTGATCAAGAAGCGTCATCTTGACGTTTGTACCATTTTCACAACACATGCTACTCTCTTGGGTCGTTATCTTTGTGCTGGTGATGTCGATTTCTATAACAATTTAGCCAATTTTGACGTGGATGCTGAGGCAGGTAAGCGTGGTATCTATCACCGCTACTGTATCGAACGAGGTGCTGCCCACTGCGCTGATGTCTTTACGACTGTCTCTCATATCACTGCTTATGAATCTGAGCATCTTTTGAAGAGAAAACCAGGTAATTTCTATGAAAGTATTTTTGTAGCAAACAATTGAACTTTTCAACAGATGGTGTCTTGCCCAATGGTCTAAACGTTGTCAAATTTTCCGCAATGCATGAATTCCAGAACCTACACGCGTTGAACAAGGAAAAGATTCATGATTTTATTCGAGGACATTTCTATGGACACTATGACTTTGATTTAGACAATACAATTTACATTTTCACCGCTGGTCGATATGAATACCGTAATAAGGGTGTAGATATGTTTGTAGAGGCTCTTGGACGTAAGTGCCGTAAGAGAGGAAAATCATGTTTATTTATCTTTTTTTTTTTTCTTTTTCTTTTTTTTTTTTTACAGGCTTGAACGCACGTCTCAAGTCATCTGGATCAAAGATGACCGTGGTAGCCTTCATCATTATGCCAACAACAACGCATTCCTTTAATGTGGAAGCACTCAAGGGACAGGCTGTCACCCGTCAGCTTCGAACGACAGTCAGCGAAATCCAAGACCGCATCGGTAAAGTGATTTATGAACATGCGCTCCGACTTGAGGATATCGATCCCGCCAAGTTCTTATCTGACGCAGATAAGGTCCTTCTCAAACGTCGTGTGTTTGCTCTCAAGCGTACTTCATTGCCACCCATCGTGACACACAACATTGTCGACGACCACAAAGACCCTGTTCTGAGCCAACTCCGCCGTCTCCAGCTGTTCAACAACTGGGACGATCGTGTCAAGGTCGTGTTCCATCCTGAATTCTTGAACGCAAATAACCCTCTCTTTGGTATGGACTATGAAGAATTTGTACGTGGATGTCATCTCGGTGTGTTCCCATCCTACTACGAACCCTGGGGATACACTCCAGCCGAATGTACCGTTATGGGTGTGCCGTCAATCACAACCAATCTCTCTGGCTTTGGATGCTTTATGGAAGAAAACATTGAAAACTGTGACGATTATGGTATCTACATCACCGATCGTCGCATGAGGTCCGTAGAGGAATCTCTCCAGCAGTTATGTGATCAAATGTATCAGTTTGTGCAAAAGACACGTCGTCAGCGTATCAATCAGCGTAACCGTACTGAGCGTCTATCAGATCTCTTGGATTGGAAACGAATGGGTCTAGAGTACATCAAAGCACGTCAACTGTCTCTGCGTCGAGCATATCCTGAGAGTTTTGTGGATGACGATGAAGATTTCCAAGAGACAGCCCATGTGAAGATTCCTAAACCTCTTTCGGCACCTGCATCTCCTCGTATACGAATGCAAGTGAATACACTACTAAATGACGATGAAGAAGAGGAAGATTATTTGTTCCCGGCACTTCGCAGAAATAACCAAACACAAGAGCAAGAGCTTTTAAGTGAAGGTGATATTGAGGCATTTAACAAGTTGGCACTCGAACATAAAGAGCATAAATAAAGTTTTTTTTCTTTCTTTCTTTATTCAGACATTTGGATATCTTTTTCTTTCTTCCACTCGACAAATTCATCAAACAGAACTGGCCCTATTGAATTATATGAGTATATCATTATTCTCTCTTTTTGTCATCATGCTCTTACACGCAGAAGATTCATCATAATTAGATAGATCAGTAGAAACAAAATCCAAGAAGCTTTGCCACTGATCTCGATTGATCACCTTAGCTGGTTTCTTTTCTTGTAGGAATGTAACAAACTCATGAACAATAGGGAATCTGTCGCCTAGCAGCATGGTCCACACAACAACAGCCGTCTTGATAAAAGTGTGTCAGCCCCTGAATAGAATAAATGAAAAAGCTTACCTCTATTTCCATGCATTTCTGGTCTTTATTCTTGGCATAACTAAATGTATATTTGTACATTTCTTTGAACTCTGTAGGATCATGAAACGCTTTATCAAACTCGGGTCGTTTTGCTTTTAATTTTTCAAGTGAATCTGTTCTATTCAGATAAAAAAAATCAATATACTGTTTAACCGTGCTTTCTCTCCTTGTTTTACCCTAGTTCCTCCATGCCTGCCATCCATTCTTGCTTTGTGATGTAGCCCATGGTTGATGTATGCATTTTCCAAGCAATGGCAAATATGAGTACCTAATATACAAGATGAATATAATGTTGCATGTGTGTTGATTAATTTACGTCTTCTATGGATAAGCCCAGATCTTCAAAGAACTGTCTTGTGCCGTCTGGGGTGATGGTATCAGGTATATCTGGGTCTGCATAGTGCTTAAATAATTGTTCACATTGTTGCTTGTTAAACTAAAAAGATCATGTAAATAATGATGCTAATGACTCTAACCAATATCTACCTGTTGAGTTGGTTTTATCTGATTTGTTTTTTGGTCTATTTGTAGATTATGATGTGATGCTTGGTTATTCAATCTCTTGCGTTTGGAAACGTTTGTCTGCAGTGAAGCTGTACTACTTGGTTTTGAGCCCATTTGAACAATGTTACGCTTTAATGACATACAACAACAAAAAGGTCAATAGCGTTCACAAAGTCGAAAAAGATAAAAAGTGCTTCCATTTTCAAGTGAAATTTACGGAACGTTAAATTGCCACCGCAATTAAGTCACAACTCGATCTATTGAAGCCATTTTTTTCAAATGTCTTTGACTTACCTCGATTACTGGCATCATGACCAGTATCCCAGCATTCTCTTGCATTTAGGAAGGATGCAGTCTTGTTTATAAAGTCAGTGTTGTAGTGACTGATCTTAGCAGATAGTTCAGGAAATGTCTCCTGAAAGAGCAGTGAGCAAAGGCCAGAAAGGCCAATGGCGAGGGCAGACAGGTTGTCTCTGGGTTTGGCAGTTTTTTTTTGTTTGACACCAACGCACAGTCAGGATTACGACACAAGAACGATCCTTTGACCTTTGTCTTGATATCTTTGCCTTTTATAACCTTTCGATGGATGGGGTGGTCCAGCTTGGAGAAGCAGTACATGCATGTTTGTGATATGTTTTCATTTGTGATGCACACATTGATGTTCATACCATGCATGCACTGCTTCCATTTTCCACCATATCATCTATATCCCTTTATTGTGGAGCCTACTCCCGTGCCTTTGTCTCCGATAAACATAACAGGACATGGTCTGCTTTTACCTTTTACTAAATAGCTTATATAATAGTTAGTATTCATCAATCATATATTACTGTGCTTTTTACCTTTCTTGCCTATCAAAAATATTCTTTTGCGCACAAGCGTCTTCGAAAGCGGTCGCTTTGCATTTCACATGTCCTTTTCAGTTTGACATGTTGCTGGTGTATATTCATTGCTTGCTCAACGCTTGTTGACAACTTTAAGTCTAACTTTGAAAGATTATTTTCAATGGCTTGTACTGCTTTGCCTTCTGTTGACTTATTTGTTTTTTCCAGCTTTCTTCAGACATTATAATATCCTGAGCCAATATCTATATCGCCTGCCTTTATTGCCATAGAAGACGGTAGCTGCAGAAATGAGTTTGCATCAGATTCTTCACTGCTATACTTGCTCACCATTTTCTGAGCTTCTTCTTTGCATCCATTAGCATCCTCCAATGCTTTGTACTTATTTCGTAGCTCAAGATGAAACTTGAATCGTTTCATTGTCAGGGGAACAGTACTTGTCATAGTCTTCAGACCATTATCTGTGCTAGAAAAAATAAATTCTTCAGGAGGATTAGCCTGTGGGCTTAGTCGACAATTTTCCACTTTAGCAATCCCATGGCCACATTTCTGCACAACATGCCACTGAGTATTGCTATTTTGGGAGGCAGTGGCTGTTTCGTGGGTAATTGCAGGTTTTTGCTTCATCGCTATCCTTTTAAAATACATCAGTTGTCTTTCCAACTTCAGTTTATCTCTTGCTGCTTGCACAGACAAAAACGACTGATTTCGTTCATGTTTGACTTGTTCGATAGCGTTGTATAAGTCAACCTTTTCTTCAAGGCTGCTATTTCTCCATTTGGCCTTCAAGCCTTTGATGTCCTTGGAGAAGTCCCTGTTATTGCTGTTCTTCAATGCATCTTTAAGCAATTTTTCTATCTGAACGACTTCAGATTGCAAGCCTTGGATTTCTTGCACAAGGGTCTCTTTTAGCTTTTTAGATTCCTCTTTCACAGTCGGATGATCTGTCAATTTATACGAGGCGGGACTTTTCTTCTTGTTTGAATCACCCACAGTATCCTTTGTTTCAAGCAAGCGGATGACCTTTATTCCAAGCAACAGTGTTATATTTTGAGCAAACTCTAGATCATTGGACTTGCACGCCACTGTTATAGCATTCATATCAAAAATGAGCTAAAAACAACATCCTTATTTTGGCGAGCTTCTTCAATCGATTCTATGAGATAGTTATCATAGTTGAATATTGCCAATGCACAAGGAAGTCTGGTCAATGTTTGATATAGTGATGGTCCATCTATTCTTAAAGCATGCAGTGTAGAAGCAGATGGCTGCGAGCAAAGCTTTCTGTAAAACTTCTTGTAGCCAGCATACAAAAGAGTATCATTCGCTAGGATGCAAAATGGTAATTGATGAGCTATGATGAACCGTTCTTTCTTCTTTGGAATATACGGCTTCAAAGCATTCAAAATCAACATGCAAGGATATGCTTCTTTTTCTCCAACGTCAGAACATTCCTTTTTCAGGTCGTCGATACTGAATGCATCTTTCCTGTCATCGAGAAGTAGGCTTTTCAGAACAGATTTTAAGCAGCGTAATCTCCTTCTTGTTAAATCTGTGGTGTTGTCTGTGATTAACTCTTCTTCTTCCACCTCATCCTCGTCATCATTTTTACTGGCGAGTTGACTTTCTCCTGTAACATTGCTCTCAGTTCTTATTATGTTGCTCCTTTCGACTTTCCTAGCCTGTGAAGCAAGGACGTTACATTGTCAATATCTTGTAGCACGAAAATAAGGTATCTTACCAAAACAGCCATTTTGTATCCATCAATCCTTTTTTGGTACGCATCAATTTTAGCTTTCCATTTGTGAGCTTCTTCAGGTTTTTTTTATTTTTGTTTCGTACTTTTTTTCTTGTATTCTTCGCCTCGTAAAATATTCCTTCTTGCATTTCTAGGCAGATCGGCAAAAGTAGATGTCCTGCTATTATCGTCTACTGGCTGTTGCGAATCTTTCTTTGATCTTTCTTCTGCTTTTTTCTGGATACAACTTCTGTATTTGGCTTCTCGTTTGGGCGCCAAATGTACTCGTAACAAAACATCCAGTAAGCTGTTCATCAAGCCATAGAAGATTTTTGGCGTGCTCCACTTATTTTTTATGTTTGTAGTAACTTTACCAAGAGCATTTTCCATTTCATAAGACTTTAATGATGTTTCTTTAAACTTGCCTCGCTCTATTCCAGATGATTCTAGGGCCTTGAAGATGGCCATCTGAACCGGATGCTTGTTTAAGTTTGTCTCTTTCGCACCAACTAAGCCAAAGTAGTAAGAATGTATCAAACCAATGTGTTGATGTTCCATAAGCATGTTAAAGTCCTTCGTAAAAGAATCTGCTACGGAAAAAGGGCCAATGGTATGCTCTATAGCACAGTCTTGGCTGGGTAAAAAGCCATCTGGAAGTATATTTGCGATATTAAAAGAGCCTTGCATGATCATATCGCAATTTCGTAACTCTAACAGAACCATATTCATTATGAACGTGATATTGATAATGTAATCAGAAGCTTGCGTAAAAGTGCTTTCAGGTTTTTCCAAAATAGCTTGTTTTATCTCTAATGGTAAATCGTTTCTGATTATGCGATTTACTGCCACGCTACAAGTTCTATACTCTACATCGGTAGAATGAACCTCGAGTTCTGTATCGCCATGTTCCCCTTCTGTTACTTCTTCCCTTAAATTTCTTACTATAGAATGAAAGTTTCCTTGAACGTATTCTTTAAAAACTACATCATTCTTTTTTATGGAATTTTTGTCCAAATAATCTCTCAGAACAGTAAGTGTACAGCTTGCATACGTTGCAGCTTGTGCCAAGACGCCCCTTGGTAAGGCTTTGATATTGAGCAACTGTTGTTCCAGCTTGTTCAGATCCCTTTCCACATTTTTGCTTTTTTTTAGTAGTGGAGTCAACGGTGGCCTTTATATAATCATGAATAGAACGCAAGAAGCTGTTGTATAAGAGTTCAGGAGATTCTGGTACAAGACGTGGTCTTTTTAAGGGAGGATTCTCAGAGCTTTCGCTAGCAGTACGCTTCAAGTTTTGCCGTAGAATTGGAACCCTTGTTATGTTAACGCCATCAAAATAGCTTTTCAGTTCAGTATGTTTCATTCTAGGTTATAAAGTGTTTGAGCTATAAGGAACTCTCATCAGACTGTTATCCTCACTAATCTGATGATAGCTTTCAGAGATTAGTGAAGGCAAGAGCAAAAAGAAAAATAAAGTTGTTGCTGATATCCTTGGCCGTGTCAAAGCTTATTTATCACAGTGATGTTGTCATCTGCGTTAGATACAGTGAAATGACTTATTTTCTTAATTAAAGTAGAATATTTCTACAATATGAAATTAGCAATATCATCTCCATATATCCTGACTAGACGTTATAAACTTTTCTACCAAGGTGAATATTTGCTATATTTTTTATTCAGATGGGTAATACTGGAAGCGCTGCAATAGGATACTGCAAGATTCAAAAAAGAAAATACCACAGTTTATTTCAGGAGATCATACAAGCTTTTAATTACAGCCACGCTTCCTGTAATGAGGCATATTAACAGCTCATTGGTGCAGCTGGCCTTACAAAGCCTCATGCTGATACAGTGAAACAAATCTGATAAATAACGCCAAATTATATTTCACGGCAAAGAAGGCCTTGATCTTCATTTGGGGCAGAAGACCTTTCTTGCTGAGCAACAGGGGCAGAAGCACGGGGAGAAAAAGGCAGCTTGGTTACGCGGCTGACCAAAAAAATATGCTTGCACATCTTTGTTTGATCAGGGCAGCTGCAGTTCTTCAGAAAGCCTTCTTTGGTATCATCTCATAAAAGAGAATGTCTTAAGTGAAGGATCTGTATTGATAGACATTTTCTTCAAGCTGCTCTGCCATGGAACAGGCAACGTCGTAATCAACGCAGATGCTGCTCTTCTCTTCTTTTCTTCGTTGGCTGTCAAGCGAAACCCACCGAAATCATGCACAGCTTTGATTGTATCTTGCCAATAATCTAATGCTACCACTTGGGATAACAAGTAGATTAGGCGATCTACACGCAAAGAGCAAGAGTGACCAAGATAGAACGTCTTCAATTGGCTATGATACGATTCTAATACTTGGACAAGTAGGATCCTGTTTTTTTATTTATATAAACGCGGCATTCTTTTATAGTATATTAGTCAGTGAATGGAGCACTTTCAAATTTATAATAGGATTACTTAATTATATCGTATGAGATTACTATTCGTTTTGGGTAATCAAGGAAACCCCCATCAGCTATTTCATCTACCTTACTGAATACCCCTCAGTTCGACTTACGTACTATTTGGTTCGAGGAATATTTAACCAAACATCGTTTCTTTCGGTCCCAGTAAATGACAGCTAGATGCATCCATAGCGGTGAGTTGGTTAAAGTTGCTTATCTGAGCCAGTAGGAATAATGTAAACGGTAGCCGATTCAATGTTATGGTTGTTGTAAGACTTGTGGTAAATATACCCTTCTACAACATGACAAAAGATGATTTCTCTACTTTTTATAAACTATAAAAAAGACATGGCTTCCATTTGCTTACCCTAATTATATTTACTTCCTTTTCCTTCTAATGATCACTCTAGTTACTTTGTGTCCAGAGTACGTATGCTGCCTTTCCTTATATCAGATATTATCTCATTGCTATCTTGGGGTTACAACTAGCCTTTTCTCTCTTTCTCAACAGATAAATTATAGAGAGAAAACACTGCAGTGATTTTAATATAGACTCACGCGACAACACTGTGGGAAATTTTGGACAATGTTTATATTAGAAATCTGTGAGGAGCGGAGCATATGCGTCAAAGCCCTCATGTTTCTCTTTACTTTCGATATCCAAATTTGTACGATAATGCCTTTTGTGTCGTCTTTTGTACTACTGGTAATCAAGAAGAAGCAAAGACAAGATTATGTTTTTATTGCTCGCAAGTTTTATGAAGTTTCTTTTCTCACTAGTATGTTATTGACTTTGACTGAGGAGGAAAGGGTGTGATGGCTGAGTAGTTGTGTATCAAGAAAGAGGGGATCTGTTTAAGCCAGTATTGCAATGTCATTGTTAAACTTTAAAGTATTACACCAAAAGTAAACCTATCAACAGACACGCGTAAACACAAGTCATTCCTTAAACGGCCCGCATGAAATGAGTGGTTTATTTTGTGTGGGGCATGTGTACCATTGGACCCCTTTCCATATTGGTTCAATTGACACTGACCAATGAAAAATACCCTTACTAAAATAGAAGGTGTGACCCATAAAATGTCATATTCATAGTAAATGTGAGTAATGTAGTGATTGACTATATATAGTAATTGATAGCAAACAGAAGGAGGGGTTTAATCATCGGAATATCGTGTGAAGATAACTATTGTGTTCCTGAATTTACATTGTTTAAAGAAGAAAAAATATTCTTTTTTCACCTTTTTCTTTTCTTTTTTATTATTTTATTGTTATTTGTAAATAGATTTGCATAAAATGACAGTTTGTATACCAACAAAAGATGGAATCCCATATGTCCAATGGATTAATGTAAGTTGTCTTTATAATCATTTCTTTTTTTTTTTTTTAATTCATTTTTTATATAAATAGACATTGTTTGGTGATTGTGTCTATGGAAATCAAGATGCGGTCAGTTTACTTTTAGGATATATTTCAATATGCTTTTGGTTAAATGCACAATTACCGTAAGTAAACTTGTTTGTGTATATTATATATTGTATATTTAATATTATTATTTTATAGCCAAGTCATTGAAAATTACAAGATGGGCTCAGCTGATTGTCTAAGTCTTAATTTTCTATCCATTTGGTTAGCTGGTAAATATATAGTACACGTATTATTTTATAGATTATTTACACTTTGTAATAGGTGATACAGCTAATCTGATAGGAACCATCCTTACAGATCAGTTACCATTTCAGTTTTACTTGGGCATCTATTTTGTATCAATTGATATATGTTTATTATGTCAATGGATTTATTATAATAAATACAAGAAAAGACAAGATGAATATGTTATTATACCTCAAGAAGATGTCATCACAAAGCACCCTTCAAATTCATTATTTCAACATCCTGCAATACATTCCCCAGTAAATATACCAGTCATTATGAATGATGAAACTACCCCATTCTCTTCTTCTGCTTCACCTTCAAAATGGTACACTCTTTCTCTAAAAGATCAACAAAAGCTCATGTCTGTTTTGTTCTTTTTCACTTTAAACATCACTTCACCCACGCAAACAACAACACAAACGATAATAGAAAATAACTTTGTTTGGATCGGCAGAATCTCAGCTTGGACATGTACCACTCTCTATTTACTATCAAGGATACCACAGATACTAAAGAACCGCCGACGACAATCCATCGAAGGACTATCGATATCTCTCTTTGTCTGTGCAGCCTGCGCCAATTTGACTTATTCCCTCAGTATACTCACTCACCCTGGTCATACCATAGAATCACTTTTAGAAGCCTTACCTTATTTAATCGGCAGTTGCGGTACCCTCATCTTTGACTTCTTCATCTTTTGTCAATTTCTGTATTATACACATTATAATAAACCAACCGTGAATCATGTCGTCTGATAGTGCACATAGACACACATACACACGAAAAACCTGGTTCACCGATACCCTTTCTCTAGATACCGGAGCAATCAGCCGATCATGTCACATATCTTGCACTAACACACAAGATTCTTACCATTTACGTGTTAACTCCCTATTTGTCTTATCAAAGGGAGAAAAAAGATAGATAAAGGGTAAATACGTATGTTATCGACGTCACTACAGGCTGATAATATCCTATGACTTTGATTTCTGCTATCTTTTTTTTTTGGTATTATATCAATATACACAATGGTTATAGATAGGACAAAAGTCCCTGTTTTAGAAAACAAGGAAAAGTTGACGTCAAATAAGTGCTTGATAAATAATATTGGAAGGGGGAATGCTTTTCTATTTACAAAACACATTTTCGTTATTCTTTATGCTTTGTGTTTAGAATAAGGGTAAAGCCACTTATGTCCGCTGGCCCCAGTTTTTTTTTTTTTTTTTTTCAGTTAATGCAAAATAAGTGATTATCTTTTTCATGTCATATATTCATTCGTCCCTTGTGATGTTTATTATATCTAAACATTAAAACCAGTTAACGCATCATAAAGACTTTTTTCCTTACACAAATGCATATAATGACACCGTGAGATAATTGTGCGCGTGTCTGTGTTCACGTTACCAATTTCAAGAGTGCATTAAAAAAGCAAGAGGTAGAAATCTTTGGTTCATTGTTGAACAAGTTACCTGTTCCTATTTTTTTTTTTTTTTTTTTCAATATGGAGATAATGGTGTAAAGGTGTACAGATCAGTGTGACATGTCTATAAAGGCGCTCTCATGTCGTTATCTCCTTTTTTCCCCCTTAATGAAAGCTTGAATAAAGAAACAGTACATATTTCAATCAAAAATTGTTATTTTTTTTTTATTGCATGCACTGGATTATCTGAGGTTCAATACATTAATTATCTCTTTCTTTTTTACTGCACTTATGGAATGAAGCATCAGCAACAGCCTCATCAACAATTCATGTGGCTACCAAGGCTTCTAGCCAAAAACATGTACTCAATATCCGTTATATGCTCAGCACTATTTATTCTATTATTCATATGGCATTTACCACCACAACAACAACAAGTAGAGCAGACTATCAAAAATGATAAACCTATCAATAGAGATTACTATTATTCTAATCTCGAGCAATCATCTCTTCTTGTCACAGTACAAAACAGACATCAGTTTATATCCTTTCATCCACTACTATGTCGCTTCCAACATTATCCAGTTCATCTCGTCTTATTGCCTAATGGCGATCTTTCTCAGCAAAAAGCACAGGATGTCCTTTCGGCCACTGATTGTCAGCATGTCGATAATATCGTTATTCATGATCTTACAACAAAGACAGAAGAGGCGCTATTTGAGCTGATGAAAACAGAACGTACAAAAGTAGTGATTCGATCTAATGAATCTAGAGATCATTTACTTGAAGCGTTTGTTGACAAACATGAGATAACCATGATTGCTTTACCTGAACAAGACATTACTCATGCTCTTTGGATACCTGATCTCTCAATAGACTCTTTACAAAGTAAGATCAATAAACACACATGAAAAAGCACATCACTTAGGTTGCCTTATATAGATTGGAATAAAGTAGATATCAAGCTTGTCATCATCACCGACCGTCGACCCCATTCACTCTCCCGACTGTTACAATCGGCACTAAGATCCGTCTATTTTGGAGATCGAGTGGACCTGAATGTGCATATGGAACAATCAGCCGATCGTGTGACCCGAATGTTGGTGAACAGCTTCATGTGGAAACAAGGCACCAAACAGATCCGACACCGTATCAAAAAGGGCGGTCTGATGCCTGCGATTGTCGAATCATGGTATCCTAGTCATGACGATGAGTATGCCGTACTGCTCGAAGACGATATCGAGGTTTCACCTTATTTTTATGCGTGGTCAAAGTATGCCATCCTCAAATACCGATATGGTCGAGACCGTGAGGCGTATCGCTTGATGTACGGCGTCAGTCTGTACGCACCGCGCAATTTAGAATTATTGCCTGCTGGCCGAGTCACCTTTGATCCGAACTCGGTTCTCTTGCCGCGATACCCGCCTCAGATGCCTTATCTGAGTCAAGTGCCCTGTAGTTGGGGCGCGGTCTACTTCCCGGAACACTGGCGAGAGTTCCACGGATATTTGGTCAGACGACTTGAGGACTTGAATTTGCCAAAGAACAGTACGGCTCGTGTGATCAGTGTACCGGGCAGCCGTTCTGATAAATGGAAAAAGTCATGGAAGAAGTACTTTATTGAACTTGTCTATCTGCGCGCCTATGTCATGCTCTATCCTAACTTTCATCAGTTTGAAGCCTTTTCGACGAACCATGTTGAGGTGGGTACGCATTTCAAGTCGGACGGCAAACGACAGTCAGTCATCGGTACCTTCATGGTCCCTCTCATGCAACGAGACACGATCCTGTCTCAGCTACCGGACCACCGTCTGCCATTTTTTGAAGAACTGCCCGTACTCGACCTTTGGGGCCGTCTCCAGACCCACGAAAGCTTGGACCGTGTTGCGGCAGAATACCATGAGCATGTGTCCACATGCACTCGAACCATTGGATCGTTTGATCCCAAAGATATCTTTTGCCGTGTGGATGGGCCCCCAGATCCTCCTCAGGTCTTTCCGGGCACAGCCAAGAAGCCCAAACTGCCAGTGCTCGTGAAAGAAGCGGTTCAGCCGATTGAATATAACTACAAGCCGACGCATACCGAGGAAGAAGCCGAACGTGGAAGAACGCTCCTGTTTGAACTCGGTCCAAAACCGATCGATGTAGCTCAGTTGACCCCCGGAGAAGACAAGTCGGTGGGTCGCGATGATGAAATGGTTGACTTGGAAAATGATTTGGATACCTTGAACAGAATTTATTACAAGATGAATCCTCAGAACCTTGACTTTTTGAATGATGAACAGGAACAAATGGAAGAAGAAGAAGAAGAAGAAGGCTTTGATGATCAAGATGAAATAGAAGATGATTTGCAGATTGTTGAAGAATAAAGTCATTGCTTTATTTTGATTGGATAGCATTTACAGTAACATTATATGTGTGTGTGTTTCTATGGCAATTGAGGGCAATTGAGGTGATCATCAATTTTTATGATGAAAGACAATAAATAACCAAAAAAGGAGATTAAGTGATGTCAATTGAAATAGCCAGAAAGGATAAACCAATGAGATTTGAATTCCTTTGTGTATTTTTGTCGCGTGGATAACCTTCTTTTTTTCTCTCACTCTTACTCACACACTTCTTTATCTTTTTTAACTCTTTTTTTTATTATAAAGCAAGTGAGACAGGCAAAGAGAGAGGAAGAAAGAGAGAGAGAGAAAAAAAACAGAGCTTGACATATAAACATATATATTCTTAATGAAGACATTCAGTCCTAAACATTGCTCGGTGGTTATATACAATGACCATAAAGATGATGACCTATTACCACTTTCATTATTTATCTCTATTTACAAGTCGGGTACTGTAAAGATGTTATGTGTGTCGATATATTATAACTTATATAAGTTTCCTTTTAGTTGTCATAAAGCATGACAAGACGGAAGTAATACAAGAACTGAGGAGTTATCATTGTCATCACCCTGTTTTACTGTTAATTGATACAGAATCAGGCATAAATGAATGTCCAGAGTTACTGTCGACAGTTGTGAGGTTTATCAGAGAAGGATTATTGATTAATACGATACCGATCGTATGTTCAACATTGGATTGTCCCCATTTTATGGTCAAATGTATCAATGAAGGTGCAGCTGATTATGTAATAAAGCCGCCTAGTGAGGATGTCATCAAGACATTATTCTTGGTAAAAAAGAAAAAAAAGACAAGATATGCGCTTCATTAAACATGATCTATATAGAATGTAGCAAGGTACAATACGAATACCATCATAAACCAAGATGTTCAACAAGAGACTTGTCGATTGGCCGAATATGGAAAAGTGTGGCCCAAGTTTAAAGAGAGACTCAAGAGCGTCTTTTTACAAGAGACATGGTAAATACGATAGACATGGATAAATTTGTCGCCCCCATTGACACATGTTGTTAGGTTATCCAAGATTATCGCTGAATATTATACCCCCAAGCCCACGGTTCATCGATCATCCATGAAATCCATGTTGGAGTAAGTCAACAGGACATGTGTAATAGATGATAAACTTATATATATATAAAGGGATAGAAAAGAATACTTGAAATCACAGATTTGCAGCTGGAATTTCCTACCGCTTGATCTGGAGCTGAAGGATTTAGTAGAAGTTGTCTATTTGATATTGAATCAAGTCTTGACCTCATTTGATGAATTGAAGTCACTTTGTGTTCCCAGCAGTAAGTTTAAAAAACACACTCTAATAGAGAAGAGGATTGACACACAAGCACCATTTTAGGTGATTTGTATCACTTTATATTTGACATTTGCAACTCGTACCACGGGACAAATCCTTATCATAACTTTAGGCATGCAGTCGATGTACTTCAAGCGAATTATTATTTTCTCTGTAAAATGGGTTTACTCAAACCCATGTATCCTTCTAATGAATTCACTTTTGGACATTCTCAGAACCCAGTGATTCGACTGATGACCCCCTTGGATATATTTGCATTACTTATGGCAAGTATAGGTCATGATGTTGGCCATCCTGGTGTCAATAACAATTTCATGGTAATAAAAACAAAAGGAACAGTCAACAAGAGGCTTACATTAAATAGATCACAGCATCAACGCCTTTGGCCATCATATATAATGATAAATCAGTCCTTGAAAGTTTTCATGCTATGTCCTTTTTCCATCTACTACAAGATAATTGCTTCAGCCAATTAACTGATCTTAAAACATATCCTAATTATTGTAGTAAGTTTGCTATATATATATATATGTTGTTGATAGTGTGCCTTATATTTTTTTCATAGCCTTTCGCAAGATTGTTGTGAATAGTATATTAGCTACAGACATGAGTTTACATGATGATTATGTTCAAAAGATTAACGATCAAGCCAAGAGAATACGTGAGAACGCGATTGATCCGACAGACAACGCTGCGGCTGAAAGAGAAAAGATTATATTGTGTGGTGCATTGATCAAATGTGCTGATATTAGTAACTGTGTAAGTTTTGTAGGAATGATAGTTGATGTATACAAACATATTCATTCTATATACATTTATATATATTAGGCTAGACCCTTTGAGTCTGCTAAGCGGTGGGCAGAGATATTAGCAGAGGAGTTTTTTGAGCAAGGAGAACTGGAAAAAGAGTTTGGACTAAACGTTTTACCGATCAATGAACGAGGCAAGGTGCCATTAGAAGATTTTCAATTGAGCTTTAAGCGGTTTATTGCACTTAAATTATTTGAAGCTGTTAGCTCAGTCACTGAAGGTAAAGTATGAGATAGAGCGATAAAGTACTCATGCCTTCCCTATAGACATGCAATTCACAGTAGATATAATTTATGATAATATAAACACTTGGGAAAACATGAAGAAAAAACAGGAAATAGATTTGAAATTTAAGCAAGACGTAAAAACTGAACAACATAGTGATATGACGCCTAATAATAGTATATCTCCTAATCAAGTTTCTTCATTTGATAGTAAAGTCCCTAGTCAGCAGAGGTCATCAAGATCAGGAATGAACCCATGATGTGTATATAAGTGTATTATTGGTACTATAGATTTACATACAAACAAACAAAAAAAAAGTGTATGTGTATTATTTGTATAGTTTATGTTGTCCAATAAATCTTTTCTTTTTTTTTTGGTTCTTTCATTGTGTAAATAAGAATAATAATAATAATAAAAACAAACTATCCTCTCTCCCTGGTTCCCCCTTCCCCCTTTATATGCGTATATATTTATGTGTGTAAACATTTTGTAATGCAACAATAAAATAAAATAATAATAAAGGAAAAAGAGAAACGATGTGCAAAAAAAGGAGATAATTATAAACTATCGATACGTTGGAAAGACCTTCCGCCTTTAGGTCTTTCATGAAGCCTTGGATTATTCTTTGCCAAAAGCTCTAAATAAAAGATAAATAACAGACTATATAATATACTATTGTTCTTATTACCTCTGTCCATTTTTGCATAATCAATTTCGCAGTCGTGTCTATCAGGATACCTGTGTGTATCACAAAATACATAATCACATCTACATTTATTGGCTGCTTGTTTGGCTAATGGAATCTAGTTTTATGTATGTGTCAGTTGATAATTGTGTAAGAGATGAACATTTTCTTTTACCTTGATTCGACATTTGAAGCATCTTCCTTTATTTGTCTGAACTGGTTTATTGTCATTCTTTGAGTCAGATGGTGAAGGTATTGAAGGTGGCACTGTTGTTTCAATATCTCTCGGTTCTGGTGAAGGCGTTCGGAGATGCTTTCTGGTTGTTGCTGTAGTAGTAGAAGGTGTAGATTGCTGCTCTCTAATTGTTGTTTCTTCTTTTGTTACTGCTTCATTTTTGGCTGTTGCTTCTTTAAAGCACTTTGAGCACATGTTATTGAATAGTTCATTACCATAGAACCCACAACCTGCTGTGCAAAGTGTAGGTGCTTTGGGACTTTTATTATTTTCCATAGTGTGAGTTTGTTATTTTTTTGTAAAAAGGAAAAAAATAAAAAAATAAAAATAAAAAAAAAGAAAGAGGTTATCCTCAAACAAAAAGAAATAAGGAAAGTTCCACAGTGACGTTTCTTTACTGACTTCTGCTGCCATGGCGACTCTAATATTAAAATAACGCTGTTATATGGTATTGTTCTTTATCTTTTTTTTTTTTTTTTTCTTTTCTTTACTTGATATAGCGCTGTATAATATCCTGCATAATACCATGCCATGATCACATTGGATAATCCATCATCATCTCCTGTACTCACCGGTGGTGGTGGTGGTATTGAATAGCCATACTGTGTTTGTTCATTTATATTTTCTGCTTGTTTCTCTTGTTCCTCTTGGTCATATTGTTCTTCTTCTTGCCCATATTGTTCTTCTTCTTGTTCGTACTGTTCTTCTTGTTCGTATTCTTCTTCTTCTTGTTCATATTGTTCCTCTTCTTGTGCATATTGTTCCTCTACTTGTCCATATTGATTTTTAAAATGCACTTTCTTATTGCTGATTTGATCTTCTTTAGTCTTTTGTCTCTTACGGGGTTCTTCTTCTTGTTGCTTTAATGTCTCTCTAATTTCCTAACTGAGTTTATTGCAAACATGTTTGTTTTTAATTCTTTTACTTTGGTAGATTGTCCATGATGGATTGAGTTACTTTTTCAAAAGTATCAAATGACGTTGGTTGTTCATGACATGTCTACATTTTTTTTTTTTTTAATTAGTTTGATCAAACAAATGGCTGATTATTACTTTATAGCTCTTCAATAAAGCATCCCAATATTCTATAATACTAGAGTCCCAAGTATCTGGTACCTAAATAAGACGCGTTTACACATGAGATATACATTTATTATTATTATATTACTTTGATAGACATTTAAAAAGAGAAAGTAATAAAAAAAGAAAGAGGGGATATAATTTTTCATATACATAAAAAAAGGGTATCTCAATCAAGTTTTGCTCGCAAGTTTTCGATTTCACCATGTAATTCCTCTAGACTGGCCTTGAGCGTCTTGACATCATCATATTTACCCTCTCTTTCAGCATCACGAATAAATCCTTCTACAAGACGAGTCTGTTCTAGATAAGTTTCCAATTGTTGTTTCAATTGCTTTCTCTCTGGCTTTTCTTTTAGTATACGAGGCAGCATTTGAAGTGGAAGCATATTCTGCTGCAAGTAAATGTTGGATGCAGCACAGATATTAGTCTGAAGTCGCTTCATACAAGGTGATCTCGCAGGAAGTGCCTTGATACTCTTGACCAGTGTATCATATAGTGCAAAATTATCTAGTAGCGACTTTCGAATTTGGCTTGCTCTAAGGAAGCTTTCACTCGTCCTGTTCAGTGCCTTTTCTTTTCTATATTAAAAAAATGATAAGAGAGATCATTGCTATTAATAAAATTATGCTTACTCTAAAGCAAGTATCAATTGATGAAACTTGGGTAATTGATTTTCTATATTCTTTCGAGTAATAGCAAGTTGATTATACAGCCGAAAGATGACGGACGGATTCTGTGATTGTTCGTTTAAGAGTTTTCTTCTAAATGCATATCTCACACAATGACAACATGCTCGGGTATCTCCAACAGGCTCTGTATCAAATGTGTCTGTATGTTTTTAGTATTTCTTCATGATTTTCCCTTCTTTTGTTTTTTACCTGAAGACATGTCTACGTATAATGGAATCATCTTGGAGCATCTAATGTTACCACAAACAACTTTTCCGCATAATCGACAGTGATGTTTACGATTAATCAAAGTAAAAGTACTCCTACAAGTTAAAAAAAGTCAATCATGTATATGCCCCGTGTTTTCAATATTCTTATTTACTCGCAATAAGGGCATTTCTTGACAAGCTTATCATCTTCCCATTTCGTCACTGATTGTTCACCATCTAAATGATAATAAATAAATGAGACATCCCCCCCTCTAATGTGTATCTTTGTTACCTCTATATTTTAACTTCATACTCAATATGCTGTTATTACTAGACACAAATGACGACTTGGGTGACAGAATGCTTCCTAAACTACTATCTCTGGATGATGCAGAATCAGATCGATCGAGTGATATACTTTGTACACTGCTTGAAGGTGACAAGAGTCCGTTGTTAAAACGATCATTGACAAAATGACCATTATGACTATTCTTGCTATCAGTCGATAAATGAATTCTTGCCAACTATATATTAATTAACACAAGCTCTCCTTTTCTCTCTCTCTCTCTTTT